TTCAGACCGATGAGCTTTGTAAAAATCGACGCGTTTCAAAAAGGCGGGGCATAGAGGAGAAACAATAATGTACAGTATGTGGAAAATAATGTGTTTTTTTACCTTTAAACCGCATAAACATTTCATTACACCAAAAACACAAAATAATGTTCTTTTTAGCAGCATCATATGACCCCTTTAAGTGATGATTGTTTTAAGTTAACTTAAATTAGAAGTTATTTTTTAAAGTCTAATAAATGTTCAAATTAATAGCTCTCAATTATAATGTAATGTTGAATGGCTATAGTCAATGGTTAAATATTAGGAAAAAATTATTTCCTAGGGACATCAGTCGTATCAATGATACTCGCCTTCTGTCATAAAAAAATGATGTCATTAAAAAAAATATTTAAAAATATACTGTCTTTATGTTGTTTCTACATAAACTTGAAGATTGAATGTGAAATTATTGCAATATAAATGTATATTTAAAAACGTTAATGTTAGGTGGGATTAATCACGATTAATTTCAGAAAAATGTGATTCGTTTTTTTTTTTTTTCGATTGACAGCACTACTATAATTATGAGTTTATATCTATCAGACAGCCTGTTTAAGTGGGCAGAGTAAGTTGCAGTGTGGACCAGGCTTAATGATGGAAATAGTCCACTTAAAGGGGTTATATGACGTTGCTAAAAAAGAACATTATTTGGTGTATTTGGTGTAATGAAATGTGTTTATGCGGTTTAAGGTTCAAAAAACACATTTTCCACAAACTGTACATTATTGTTTCTCCTCTATGCCCCGCCTTTCTGAAACGCATCGATTTTTACAAAGCTCATCGGTCTGAAAAGCCAGGTGTACGCTGATTGGCCAGCTATCCAGTGCGTTGTGATTGGCCGAATACCTCAAGCGTGTGACAGAAATGTTACGCCCCTTATCATACTGTGATGCCGTGTCCTGGCGCGATGAGACAAAAACAATAAAACCCATTATAAACGAGGCATTTGTTGCATCCAGTGGGGACATAATTACTGATTATAATGACTTATACTGTCTTTTTACGCGTTGCGTTGCGTTGCATCGCGCCGCGTAAACATAAAACCATGTCTGCATTTGTGATCGGAGAAATGACAAACAACAAGTGCTACTCTACACTGCAAAAACTCGCTTTAAATAT